TGTAAAGTGAGAACTACCTGCACTTAGTTAGTGGTGGAATCTTCCTTTACCACCACACACCTTCCATTTCTCCCATATAATCTTTATGTAGATCCTAGTGGAAGATTTGAAGGGTCAGAAAAACTCTTCAGCATCATCCCACAATTCTTTTTTTATTTTTCCTGGCTCTTAAAAGAGTTTTTTGTTTATTATTATACAATCGCGTTACTTTTTAGAAATTTCTTGGGTAGTAGATAAATTATTGTAAAAATAAAACAAAAAACAAACTTAAGCATGTGTCACCTTTTCTTTTAGAAATCTCTTCTTGGTTTTAAATTCATATTTTGGCCTTGGGCCCATTAGTTCCTGCAGGCAAAGCCAGAAGTTTCCCATCCAGGCAGTATAGATGGTGTGGAGAAAAGGTAGCATAGCCAATGGTGGGATTCAAATATGTAAACAATCGGTTCTCTGTGTGGATGCCGCTTCTGGAAGTCTATTCTGGGCCTGGGCAACAAAAAATTAGCTACCGGTTCTGCCAAACTGGTGCGAACTGGCTGAATCCCACCACTGAGCATAGCTGTTGTAACCTGAGCACAAAATAGAAGCCTACACAGCTTCATCTTCAGATTGAGGTCAGCACAGTTGCGTATTGTCCTTTTCTTGGCAATGTTGCCAATGCTATTTTTATCTTAACCCAGACAAGGAAGAAAAACAAAACAGAAGCTGCAACTGTGACAAAACCCAACACCATTTTCATGGTTGGAGACAATGGCACCTAGCCAAGAGTTGGAGGAAGGTGAATTGAATAGCCTGGTTCTAGCAGTTGACCCTCTGACACAGTTCATATGTTATTTTTTACTCTTTCTGGCAGTGATAATGTCATGGCGTGATCTTCTTCGTAACATTCCTGTTATTGCAAAAATGATAGAAAAGTCACAAAGAAAACCATTTCGCTGCAGATTTGACCTCTGAATAATTACTGTGACAAGGTTGCTGTGCCAAAGCTGATCTTTTGTATGATCTATCACATTAGGTCTTGAGTAGAAACCAACCATATTGAAAAATTAAATTAAAAAAAACCCCAAACAGTTGTAGATAAGAAAAACGTGAAGAACACAGAAGGGATAGCAGACAATAGGAAAAGATTAGCAAGTTATGTGGGTGGCTCATTTTATTCTTTTGCTATAAGGGTGTTCAATCTGTCCACCCCTCCCAGATGTCTCCACTTTAAAAGATAAAGTAGACAGTCATGTGGCAAGAGAAGACATTATCATTTTCAGATAGTCAAAATTATATAAATAGTGTGAAAAAGGCATTCAACTAATCATTTGACACAGATGTTTATACCCTTCAAATTGTGTAATTCTTTGACTTCAAAGCCTCCATCTTTCCTTTCTTTTGCCTCATGTGTTCTATGTCTATCTGCAAATCTTTGTATTTTGTTATTTTCTCCAGTTCTTTCTCTTCTATTCTGCTGTCTTCAGGTTCTGCAACTTTCAATATCCAGATTTTTGTTGTCTTTCATATTAACAGTTCTTAAATCTGGGATGTTACGTGGCAGGTGCTTGTCTATATCAGGGATACCCAGCCTCTGGGCCACAGCCTACCACTGGGTCGTGTGGCCTATTCACAACTGGGCTGCATGAGCAGTGGGCCAATGCGTGTGCACGTGCACGCAGCTTGACTCGTGCGAGTGGCGGTTCCCCTCTCCCGCCCAGGCAGGCCGCCAAGCCTCAAAGATTGGGAATTGCTGGTCTATATGACTTCTAAAATCCCAGATATTAGTGACAGTTAAATTTGGATTTTTATTTACTCTTTAAAGGTTATGTATCTGTTTAGCCTTGTTACCCAAGGTAATATTGGCAAGCCAGAAAAATGAACAAGTAGTAGATAAAATGGCAAAAACTAAGAAAGAAGTCACATGTTGGCAACTTAAAGAAGAGGAAAAGAGAAAGAGGAAAAGTGATTATCTGGTTTCTGATGTGTATGTGCCTCTGAGATACATTATAGTATTGTTTAGTATTATATTTTTTGTGTAACAGGGAAGAAACAATTGCAAGAAGCAATGAATCAGAAGAGTGTAGATTTAGAATAGATTTAGATAGGTGGTTAAAACCTATCAACTCTTTTATTCTGCTTTAGCATGCAAGTGCACACTAATGGAAGGGAAGATACCAAGTGAAGGGAGAACCATGGGTGGAAGTAGAGTTAAAGAGAAGAGAACATACATTTCAGAGAAAGCAATTCCGTGGTGAGAAAAAAAGTGTAAGGTTTTACACTTAGGCAAGAAAAATCAAATGCACAGGTATAGAATAGGTGATACCTGGCTCAGCAGCAGTAACTGTGAGAGGGATCTAGGAGTCCTAAAGGACAATTTCTTAAGTATGAATCTGCAGTGTGCTTCAGATGCCAAAAAGGCCAATGCAGTCCTGGTCTGCATCAATAATTTAAAATCAATAATTTAAAATCAATAATTTAAAATCAATAATTTAAAATCAATAATTTTAAACTGATATAGGCCTCATCAAATATTTCATTTTAATTAGGTTTTAAAGTGGGTATTTTTATCTTTGTATTTGTTTTACCAGGCTGTCAGCCGCCCTGAGTCCGTAAGGAGAAGGGCGGGATAAAAATCTAAATAATAAATAAATAAATAAATAAATAAATAGCATCAAGATCACGTGAAGTGTTAGTACCTCTTTTATTCTTCCTTGGTGAGACTGCATTTGGAATACTGCATCCGGTTCTGGTCACCGTGATACAAAAATGATGTTGAGAATCTTGAAAGAGTGCAGAGAAGAACGACAAAGATGATTAAGGGTCTGGAGGGTAAACATATGAAGAACAGTTGCAGGAACTGGATGTGTCTAGTCTAGCAAGGAGAAGGACTGGGGTGATATAATAGCAGTCTTCTGATATATGGGAGGCTGTTACAAAGATGGGACAGTTTATTCTCCAAAGCAATTGAGGGCAAGACAAGAAGTAATGAATGGAAACTTATCAAAGAGAGGTCCAACCTAGAACTAAGAAGAAATTTCCGGACAGTGAAAACAATCAGTGGAATGGCTTGTTTTCAGAAGCTGTGGGTACTCAATCACTGGAGGTTTTTAAGAAGAGATTGGACAGCCAGAATGGTATACGGCAGGGGTGTCAAACTGCCGGCCCGCAGGCTGGACGCGTCACGTGGAAGCCACGCCCACCCCACTGCCGGCAATGGCAAAATTGTCCCGATATGTTGCGCAACATCACGTGACGTCGTGAGTTTGACATGTCTGGTATAGGGTCTCCTGTTTGGGCACAGAGTTGGACAAGAAGATCTCCAAGGTCCCTTCCAATTCTGTATACTGCTCAGAAAGTGTTTCTTCATATTATCATGGTCATGCATGGAGATTATAGTTGGTAAAGTGGTCCAGTTGTTTGATAGCAGAACCAATTGGGGTGCAGAGTTGTCTTTCATGTCAACAGTTGTTAAGTCTTGGGTCTTATGTGGTCCAGCAGCATGTATGTTCACTGGTCCAGTTAGAGGTGCCTTCCCTCACAACACTCCATCCCAAATACAACTACAAGAGTAAATCAGCATTGCGTAAGCCCCTAGCATTATTGCTTGGGCTTTTGCCTCCTCATCTTATGCTTAATGTAGTTAAAAACATTTGTCTTTCGAAAAAATGGTGTGCTTAAAATGAAATGTGGATGAATGTCTTCAGCAAAAAACTCTCTCACATTAAGAAATTTCCTATCTGATGGGTTTCATTTCCATAATTCCCAAAATAATTTATTACATGGTGTCATTGGATAATTGTTTTTTTACAATTATTTTTAAGGTAGGACTCCTTTTTTAAAAAAATCATTGTTTTGAAATAAATTCTAAAATTTTGAGAATTAAACATGAACATTGTTTTGCTGAACTAAGAAACTCTGTAAAAATTAAGGTGATAGTTTTATCTGCTTCGGCATCAAGTTTTCATGCTGGGTTTATCGATAGTAGCTTCTCATAGTCATGTATCTGAATGGATGCCTTAACTTTTATAGATTGCATATTTTGATGTAATCCAGAAATTTCCAATGTAATTTTCTTCTCTACTTCTGAAAACTCTGTTGTTTTTTTACTAAATTGTTTTTAGTAAATTGTAAATTGATTGTCAAGAAGAGAAAGTCTAGACCAGTGATGGTGAACCTTTTAGAGACTGAGTGCCCAAACTGCATCCCAAAACCCACTTATTTATCACAAAGTGCCAGGGCTACATCAGCATTGTGGTGCCCTCAGGGAGGAGCAGGGGTGTGTGTGGCCCACTGGGTGGGCGTGGCTGCAATGGTCATGGCAGACTGGATGAGCGTGGCCGGGGCCAGTCCCTCGCCATCTCCGGGGCATCCCTGGGGGGCCAATGCCGCTTGCTTGCTTGCTCACTTCCTGCCCTGTCATTTCCAAATGCCACGTGCCTGCTACTCTGGCGAACTCTGCTGGGGCAACAGCGTGCGTGCCCACAGAGAGGGCTCTGAGTGCCGCCTCTGGCAAGCGTGCCATAGGTTCTCCACCACTGGTCTAAACTAACTCTAGTTCTCAGTTCCTTAGGTCTAGAGCTGAAATCAGTCCATGATTTTCAGTTTTCTTAACTGCTCATATTTATGTAAGTCAATACCAATACAGAAAATTGCACAACTGCCCGATACAGTGAGTGCTTTATTGTTCCTCATATTCTGACTGACCTAGAAAATAGCATTTCCTATATCTAAAAACCTTAACATTGTATATATTGGGTCCTCAGCGTAAGTCAGGTGCATTTAAAAAGGAGTGTTGAAGTTTCTAACATGAAACATACTGTACACTCAGTACTAAAAGTATAAATATGACCCAGATTACTTTAATGATAAGGTGTACTAATGTGGTTGACAAATAAAAACCAAAAAACCCTATCCTTATGAGCAGTCCTATGGAGTTAGAATTATAGACAAATCTGTTTTCATATTATTAGATTGATTAATGATAAAGCTATTTTTTTCCATATCAATTTCTAATGTAACAGGCATATGAACAGTCATGTGTTTGCAGGCCTGAAAGTGCAGGTGAGTTTTTTTTTTAATCATTTTAGTATAAGTTATTGTAATATACTGTATAATAACTGAATCCTCTTAATTTATGTGTTGGGGCCATGGATGCTTTATTTTTAAAGCATGTTTGCACTGGCAAATTCCCTCTTGGCTGCTCGTTAAAGCAATAGCATCCTTTTTTCAGACTTTAGCTTGAGCCTGAAAAAAAGATGCTGCTGTTTTAAGGATTCAGTTTATAATGCTACTCTGAAAGACAACAGAAAAAGATGGCTTGTCTTAATTAATATCAAAGAGTAGTACTCATGTGAATTAGTTTCAAGTGTTCACAGCCCTGATATATGTGAAACCGCATGCAACTGAATTTAGGATCCCAGGAATACCAATGTGCCCACAGAAATGAAATATATATGATCTTCTCCAACGATTTTATTTGTAAGAGTAACTGCTAACTTCTTGAACAGAGATGTAACAGTGTTTCTAAGGCGTTAATCAAGTTTGCTAGTCTCATAAGAAATTTGTAGGATAAATATATGCACTGGCCTGTGTGGCAGTATTAGGTTTTCACATTGCAATTATGATACAGAAATCCATTGAAACGCTCCTCATGGTGTCATGAGAAATTCAGAATGTTTAACAAAGGATCCCGAACATCATCAGAACTGGAATGCTGTCATATTCAGAAATCAAAATGTTTCACTTTTGGCAATCCTATATGATGATGATAACAATAATAATAAAAAATATTTTAATTTGGGGTGACTGTTCTCATAGAGTGGCTGAACATTGGATTTTTTTCATTTGGAGATTCAGGGTGGTCTACATTGCAATTTTTGATCAGATCTGCAGTACCCCACTGTCCAAAGAAGTTGGAAATACCAATGGGTATCCTTGCAGATGTCCTAGGATTGTTCATATTATATGGAATAAAGTGGCCATAGAGCAGCTGTTATCCTTTAGTACAGGAATGGAAGTATAATAATGGCCTTTTATTAATCCAGTACTTACAAAGTTCAAAATAGCCACATTCAAGAGGTTCAAAACCCAGTACTTCTGTTAATGAAATATTCAAAAATGTATTGAATGATGACTGACAGATTGTTCTTCAGATTTTATGAATGAAGCAACATTCATAGTGTTGAACAATGATAATATTGTAAGTCCTTCATCATCTGTAGGCTTTCATTCAGTAAGACACGCTCCCAACTAAGCAGCAATTAACTCTAGTTGTCCTTGAGCAAGAAATGAGATACTGTTCAAGAAAAGAAATCACTGCAATTGTTTGGTGTTCAGGTTACAAGTATGGAGTGATGGAAAAGATTTCAGGCTGAAGTTGAAGCTTACAGAAGAAAATGGCATACATAACTTTGACAAAAATTAAATGAATTTTTTAACAAGGGTAGCATAAAATATTCTTCCAGGTATCTTGCATTAAATATTTTGAACCATGGCTATAAGGAACTGTAACAGCAATGAGCAATTAGATTGCTTATAAGTTGCTGTTGTAAGGTAAGAATGATCCATTTGAAAATATAAACATATTTTAAGAACAAAATAGACTGCAATCTATATTTGAGAGTAAATTTCAGTGATTCCTGTAGAAAAGAATATATGTAGCTCATGGTTGAACTAGGGAGTCATTAGTGCTCTCTGAGCTTGTTTGTTTGTAGACTTTTCATTACCCAACTAAGTAACATCCGCAGTGTGAGTAACTATGCGGTTTGCTCCCTGTTTATGTACAGTAACTTGCCTCGACAGTTTTGGTGGGATTGTGGTTTTTTCCTTGGTAGTTCCTTGATTAAGGTATTGTTTTCTACTTGATTGTTGATTCTTCCCATTGAAACTGTGGTTGAGTGTGTCCATGCATTTAATTCAAGGAGTTTAGTCATGTTTCTTTGAGATCAAGGAGATAAATCATGTCTTCTGATTGCTAGTTGGAGTTCACAGGTATG